GTCAGCTTGATGATGCCCTGGAAAACGTTACATTTCAACACCCAACTACATAACATATTCTCCTGTGCTCGTCAAAACATTACTTTACTACTTTACTTTTATGGACTAGCTGTGATATTGTGATTCTTCATCCGAACCAATGTGTAAACACCCTATGGGATTTGTAAATACGAAGTCTTTGTAAGTTATATCCCATAGTAAAAATTTAAATTTGAATTTACTCTTGGTATCAAAGTTGTCTATGGCTTTTTTAAACCTTCAGTATGATTGTGGATGGCTGCCTGGGGTTGAAATTGGTCTCCGTTCAGTAAGGTATCTCAAACACCTTTTGCTAAGGAAATACTTCCTTGGTGTCGTTTGTTTCCCAGTAAAGTAAGAGGACGGAAAGTCAACCCGGTTGGTGAACCACGGACAAATTACTGCGGGGCTAAAACCCCGCTTCCAAACTAACCTAGAAGAGACCTACTTACCACACATACCTGTTTGTGGCAATGCTCATCAGCTTGATTGGGTACCTAGAGGTATTGGTCAACTTGGACATCTGACTCCGTCTAGAAAACGCATGGTCCGATGAACTGGACACTGCCCTCCCCGGTGCCTTGCGTTTTACGCTTCGTTGGGAATTTACCAAGATGATTCGCTCGCTTTGGTTTGAGCAACCAGGCTGTGTTCCGCTCAGATTCAACCTATGGCGCCGTTGTTGTACCGTGAAGCGTTTGCCAGACAGTCCGGACTCAGACGCATGTGTTGTGAGACCTGTGCTATGCTTTTTTGTAGATTCTGCACGCAGTCCCTGGCATAACAGCACCAAAAAACGTGTTCAGTGATACGTTGTGTGTCTCTGTTAGTTGCGCTTCGTCCCTTTTTGCTGCATGTAAATCATATGTACACCTTACGGTACTGGTCCGTTGTTATCTGTTTCTTTGAAAATCCTTGTCTTCAGTTGGTTGTGTGCGAATTCCAGATAAACTTCTGTCTATCAGCTTAATTTGATGATGTATGCAATTTACTTTTAAACAGAGTATATATGTGTATTACGGTTTCCGTTCTCACTCTCATTCCCTAGTTATGGGATGTAGACAGATGCCAGTGCAAACGCACGATTATGGCCATTTCTTCGCTTCATGATGTGTTGGCCTGTGGTCCATTCTACGCTATCATTACCGGTCATTTCGATCACAAAATCCGCATCTGGGATGAACGTTCCGGCGTGGCTACCTCCGAAGTTACAGTTTCCGGCCGTGTTACTGGTTTGGATATATCATCCGGTAGGTCCGGAGTTAATTGTATGGTTGGCGCAAACTGCTCGCCAAATCTCCGCACACACACAGAAGCAGTAGGATTGAGATTGCATTTATCATTGGACCAGTACTGGTTTCGACTTCCTGCTCATTGTAAGAGATTCATAATTGGGGTGCACTTAATGCTCAAATCCACGAACATGGTTCCCTCTCAAGTAAATAAATTCCATCCTATTCTTGGTTTATCAAGTTCTTTGTTGTCAGTGAACTTTTTCACTTCCTACTTCAATGGATATCAGTTTGTACAAGCCCAGTATGGTGGTTTTGAACCCGTTTTTGGCTGGAATATGAGCACGTGCCAACAAAGTCATAAGGATACGATTGCTTCTGATCAGATACATTTGTCATGCTTCACAGCTCTTAGTTTATGTTATCAGTATTCTGCTCCGATTTATACAGTCCGAAGTTGGAACCCTTTTACCACCAGTCAACTTCGATAATGGCAGCATTTATGTCTCCCAGTTCAGTGCCATATCAGTTCTGTCCGACCCTCGTGTTTCACTCCTCTAATACCCTGGGTGTAGGCTGCCGACATCCGCAAATGAGTAGTGCATCCATGTGATCACATGACGACTGATACGGAAATGTTCTTACCTCTCCTGGTTGACACAGCAGAATCAGAACACAGTAGTGGTGTACGCTCGTCAACGTGGTGAGCAGCAGCCATTTAAGTCAACTGGAGCGCTGTATAGCTATCTGTGGAACATTGTGTCGAACGTTACTAGAACTAAGAAATCACTAATTTATATTGTCAAAAGTCGGTTCTTCAGGAAATGCTCTCGATATATTTTCTCTAGTCCACTGGACACGAATAGCATTTGGAAAGGAAATCACAGGCGTTTATATATAACCCTGAACTAATCAGATTGTTCGACGGGCAAAATTAGTCTTACACGGACCAATCATAAAAACACAATTGATACAGTAAAACAAACGATCAATTCAAACGACACTCCAACACATATGAAGTCGACGCGCTCAATAACTGTTATCTATTCATTTAACGAACGTATCAGCGGTATTGCTGTGCCTACCAGTCTATCACCGGATCTTGTCCCACGGGACGTTTCCAACGTTTTAAGTCAAAAGACAATAGAAAAGTGGTGTGAGCTTATGCTAGGAACGACTGAAAAGTGTGTTGAATAATAAGTATGGACCAGTGTGCTAGATCCATCACGACGAGATTACACCTTGCCGTGGCTTGATGGCTTACGTGCCTCCGTGGCCATGTGAGCTACACAGGATGGTTTTTCATAGCCGTAGATTCAATCATGCCTGGAAGGTCAGTGAAAACAGGCCAGGCAGAGCTCAGTATCATAGGGCTCCTGATCATCCACTCTCGCCCCTAGAGAAGTCACTTCAGCAAATAAACATGGCGAGGGGCAGTCTACCGGTCGAAAAAAATCACTAGATGGACGTAGGAGCGGGGCACCTGGGGTTTCCTCCTGACGGTGAGAGAAGTCTTCCACTTCATTGGCCAGCTTGCGCCCGCCCCAGCTGGGCAACCCCATCCAGTAAGATGCTGTCCCATTACACTTGTCTTGGTGCTTGAGACTAAGAGCCAATCCCGAACAGTGGGCCAAAAATCACTGCACCAACAAACAACACACTGAATAGAAAGCAAAAAACTTTGCGTGACTGTCTATAGAAGCTCCCACACGGGTGCTTCGTTCACGCTCCCACGTTTGATCTACGCCCCAGTACCCTGTGGATCCGATTCCCAAGGAAAAATCCATAAGTTCCCGTTGCCTTGGGTATCAGATTTTTGAGTGAAAGGCTCCGGTCAGGGTCCCATAAATTACCCCTCCATCGACGTGGGCTACCGCGAACTATGTCATGCCCTAAAGTCTTAGATACACATTTGAAAAACCCTCTTTCCCCTCCATCCAGTTCTTCCTCAATCCCGAATAATCTCAGATGTCTCCGGTTTACGCCACCCATCGGAGTTCACTCAGCGTTTCACCAATAAAGCCAAACAATCAGAAGCTAAACTTTTTAAAGCCGAAATTTCATTTTACTCAACCACGTTCAGTGCCCACACACTAACAGATCGGTCAACAAGCTGCGTTAGCTAAACTCGTGGAGCCTTCTATTTAGACGTATTCTGTGTCTACGCACACAAGACCCCACATCGTTTTTCAAGTTATATTCTTCAGGTTCTCGTGTTTTACTTTCCGTGTGTCAGGTAGCCCGGCATTCGACGATCGCATCGTTGTTGGTGTTGCGATTGCGCTAAGTGCTCGCTTTCTTACTGGATATGACTCAGCAACCGACTGGGCGCTGTATCTCTGGATCGTTCAGTAAGAATCAACAGCTACAGATCGTAGCGTACCGGTATATGCACCAACAAAGTGCACCTGTTATGAAGGATGAATTCTACAAAGATCTTTCTCAACTGCTCCAAACCGCTCGATAAACGGTCGTTGTAGTAATCGCTCAAGTTGGATTCCTGGGCAAAGACAATCTGAATCATTGGAGCCGGGAAGCCAGATCTGAACATAATCTCTTTGATCCTCCGCGCCACGTCATAGCCTATATGATCCTATCACCACATCGTTATTCACGCGATGCTCCCACTATACGCGGAAGATGTTGCGGTGTCGAATAAGGATAGTCGTTGGACATAATCTGTTCGCAGCCATAGAGCAACACGGTGCGTACCGTTGCACAATACACAAGCCGCACTGATGGATGTGGCTCAGTGACGCTCGTATTTTTGATAAACTTGTACGACTTGTAGTTTTCAATCTTCTTTTCATCATCGGGTATGGTAAACTGATTAAACACATGCTGACCAAAGAAATGAAGACGAGCCTAGAGCTACTACTGACTTGAAGTTGAAAATATGATTATTTGTCAAACCACCTATCTGAAATGGATCCTCTTTCATAATCATTGAACTAACTTGAGACCTTTTTCCACTTAAGAACGTGAATTTTAGCTTTTTCCTTGATATTATCTGCTTCTNTCTGGCCTGTACACGAAATAACACACTGGAAGTTGTCTCTTTGCGAACAAACAAAGTATGTGATTATCTAACGGCCGAGAGTTTCCGAGTTGGCCTGGATATTGTGCGCCCTTGCTTCTCTCCAGACGCTTTGTACGTTGTGGCTGGCGGGCAAGATGGTGGAGTTTACATCTGGAATCGACAAACACGTCAATTGGAAACATGCCTTCATGGTCATTCGTGAGTGAATTCTTATTTGTTGTTAGATTTCTTCCGACTTTTGAGTCCGCTGCTACATTTTTTATAATAAATCGAGCAACTAATTAGTCTGATTTCGTGATTATGGCGAACGTTTTCATTTGAATTCAGTGTGAAATTAATGTTTTCGTCAAATTCACCCATTTTTCTGTGTACCGTATATGCGGTTTTGTGAAGCGCCCCATCCTTTGACGAAAACCAACTGTTTTTTATTTATTTTAAACTAATCACTGCATTACTTCGGTTAAACAGTTAGTGCTGTGCTGTTCAGTAGATAACCGAATAACTTGCAATCAGTCATGAAGTTACATAAACCAAATTTCAACATTGTGTCAAATCCTACTGTTACGCCATACATAACCAACCAGCGATAGCAATGTTTCCTAGTCTGAAAACTTCTCCAAATCAGCTTGCCGTGAAACATTGATCGGTTCACTTCTTCTGAGAAGAATACTCCAAAAGGTGACTGTACTGACATTCCTCTGGTAGCGCAGGGAACTCCGGTGAGCAAACAGATCGTTGGAAACTAAAAACCATATTCGCCAACGATCATAATTGTAATGTTAGAGAATGCATGAAATGGTCTTCATAATCCGGTTATTTAATGGACAACTGAAGAGCAACCGTGCTATTTGGAATACGCTGATGACTATGTGTCTTTTTGAATGTGTCGAAATGGTGATACGCACTTGAAAAGCTGACAGCTTCTATTACTTCGTTCTATATACTCTGCACATAAAGAGCGACCCTTGGTGTCGAGTACCTCTGCTTTACAACCGAATGGTCAAGAATTAACTGCAGTGGACTACTTTTAATTGCTTCACTAACGACGGTAGTGTGGTAGAGGTGGTAACCGCCCGCATTTCCTGCTGTTCACAGGACTGAAGTACCCTCGGCGCTGGATTGGCTTTTTATAACTGAAAGGTCGCTTATAATGCCCTTATTAATTCCACGGTATCAAATAATCCACGTTAGAGTGACGCGTTAAACCCACAAG